GCATAGTCCGAGTGCATAACGGGTGAGTCACGGAGTATATATTTGCAGTTCTCGTTATTCATAATCATAAGAATCGTTAAGATGCAATTATGGGGAAACCCCGCACCCCTTATCTGTTAGCGCTCAACGCATTTCTTATACAGGATCGTTGAAGTTAAAGGGATCAACTTCAACTTTTTTACTGGGACTCATACTAAAAGTATTCTGACATTTATATAGAACCGTTATGCTTTTATACTTATATGGTTTCAATTTGCATTTATATAGAGAAACGTAGAAACCTCGGTAGAAACCTTTTTGGTCTCATAAAAATAGGTGATCAAATATTTGGAGATAATAGATCTGATATAGATTGGATTAAAATTAAGTGGATTTTGTGGCATACTTAAAATGGAAATGATTCATGAACAGCAATAAATAGATAGTTATAATATGGTCAAGCAATAAATAAAGTTTATCGAATTTCTGATACTATTTTCTCCGAAAATGTCACCACTTTGTATCCGATTGCATTTTGTTATTATAATAATTATTATTATGTACATTAGTCACGGTTTTTATAAACCCATTATAATTTTAGATTATGCTTGTAATTATTATACGTTATTTTAATGTCAAAACATTTTAAGAATTTATGGTTTTGATTTTCTTTTCTGTTTATACCTACTTATTTGCTAAAAAATGCGTTTAACTAAAAATGAATGAATGATACACTTGGTGACGTCAATCCGGCATTTTTGTGTTGAACTAATTTATTGGAATTTGATACTAAAAACTTTAATGAAATAAAATATCCCAACATTCCACAACAGCAGAAAAGTATTATGAAAATGAGGGTAATTTATCGATATTCAACTGATTTAACGACCATTGTATTCAAATATGCATGATTAATAGTGCATACCGTCAGGTACAAATGGCTTGCACAAAGAAAATATTATTCAACAGTATAATGTATTAAATAATTACGCCGAAAGTTGAAAACTAAAAGTAATAGAAAAATGTATGCGACAATATACACAATATACAAGACACTGATCAAACAAGCAATTATTTTATCAATTACATCATTAAGTACTCAATTTTCTTTTTTTTAGCATACTGACTCAATGTTTTCTAAAAATCAAGTGGGTTATTCATATTCTATAAATAAACACCACGCTAACAACCGAAACAGATAAAATAAAATAAAGGATTACGTCAGTCTTCTAAAAAGGGAGATTCCAGTCCGAGCAAGCATGCAGAGACTGCAAAGGATACGAACAGGACGCGGCTAGTCCGTCAATCGATTTTTGGTCAACGGTCCAAATAATTATACGGCAGATAAGCCTTCTGACGTAAATTCATCACTAATATTAAGAGTCTTCAATTAATTTTGAAATTATCTCGCTACCAGTACATATTATAATTTATCATTTAAATTCAATACAATTAAATAACAATATAGCATCATGGTATGTTAAATTGCATACAAAATTATATACATGATTCATTTAATAAGTCTTCAAAAATCCTCAGTCTAATCGCGACACCGGCGTGATATTTGATAGTTTAACCATTTAATTTAAGCTAAATGTAGTTTTAAATGTCAACCTTACAACTGCAACTGCTAAAAAAAATCTCTCCAATTTTCCCTTCCCTGGAAAGTCACTGTCCTCGCCGTTCGGGTTTGATAAGCTCCCAAGCGCAAAATTTACCTTACTAACTAGCAGCTCGTCAAAGCTAGACGTATATAACGTCCACAGACCCATTCCACTAGTTACGATGTACAAATACGTACCAAGTACATGGACATGTTTATAGGAAGGTCTGCGGTCGTTTGTGCAAACATTAGGTACGATCAAACGCAACTTAGATGTATTGTATGTTGGCTAAATTAGACCTCTGAAATTTGATTGGCCATACAGTGCGTTCCGTGAACAAGACAACGGAAGACCATAGATTATTTTAATGAAAATTGTACAAGAGACAGAAACATTTCCAAACATTAAAATATTTTTCGTTGTATCAACAGAAAAAAGTTATGGATGGATATTTTCACCATATATCAATTTTGTAAGTTTTAAAAAATAATATGTATCAATTGAAATCAAAAGTATACACCCTAAAAACAATCGAAAAGGATTAACATGTTAGTTATTTTGTTATTTGAAAAAATTCAAAAATGTTCAAGAACCAAAGCCATCAAGAGACCAAATGAAGCGATTTCATATATAGATGAATTAAACTAAATTTGCCTATTTTCCAGAAATCCAGAAATCTGTGATCTTTTGTTTTACACATATTTATGAGACACCCTGTAGAACCACTTACACTTTGTACCATGCTTTGGAAAGAAATACACATTTTCCTAAATAATATAAACCAAGTGACTAATACAATTACACCACATTTATCTGTATTCACGTACATACGATTTCTGAAAAATGTTTAAAATTATAAAATAAGCAAGTTTATGTTCCAGTGACAAAATATTAAATACAAATTTTGCATATTTTAAATTATTTAAATATTTTATGAAGTTATAAAAAATTCAATATCAAAAATGTCTTTAAAAAATCTCATTACGAAGTAATTGCTTGGCAGGATATAAAAAAATAAATCGCCTATTATTTATAGATATGGGATAAAGTGAAGTAAATAGAAAACACATTTTCATACAAAGTTGGGGGCAAAGTTCTAAAAGACTAATTTGTTTAAATTTTAAATTGTCCACAAATTACTTGCAAAGATGTCATTATTGCACTGCAGTATAATTTTCTATACCAAGTATTTATTAAAAAAGTTAGGGCATATATTACAAATTAACTAAATCAAAAATCAAATAACCATGACGATCATCATAAGCATCAAAACCAAATTAAGGTGTCTTTCTAATGAGAAAATGTATTCTACAAAGACAATACATTTTTAAACGCCTAAGTAGGTAATTCCTGAACTTATTAATTACAACTAAATACTCGTAAAAACCGAACTTAAGTAATTTTTGCTCTAAATGTGCCAAATTAACTATTGTTTGTGTTGAAACCAAATACATCTGTTTAAAATTTCTAACTAAAATTATATTCCGTACTTCTTGTACCACTAATATCTTCACCTTAAATCGTAGGGGAGACCAAAATATAGTGATTTAACACGACTTACCTTTGTAGTAAGCTACACCCATGAGAAGTTATAGACTATGAAAGTGGGGTTTCAAATTTGGAAAAAAAATCAGTATCTCAGTTATACTTGAACTTAGAAAAGCCAAATTTGGTACACGGTGTGACTGTACCAAGACCATTAATCGACAGTAAGTAAAGTTCAATTGAAGCATTTTTAAAGGGTTGACAACATTAAAATGTGACAGAATTTTGTAATCCTTGGTGGGCTTAAAAAATTGTTCCTTTATTTTATGAGGAATTTAATTCTAAAATTTTTCTTACTCTTGTTAGTTCCCAAAAAACTTTCAACGAAAATACAAATAACATAATAAGTATTGTAGCTGGTATTTAAAATCATCGAAAATTCAAAAGTTGACTATGAATTCAAAAGTCAAACTTGACGAATTTTGTCGAGGCACCACTATAACTTAGACTGGAACATTGGTTTATGCCTGATGGAGCATCTCATTTTAGTAATATTGTTAGAGACTTTTTAAACCACCAGTATCCAAATAAATGGATTGGAAGAGGAAATAATTGCCCACAAGTTTGGCCTTTACGATCACCAGTCTTCAACAACTGTAACATTTTTCTTCCTCGCTCGTTGCATCTTGAGCAGAATTGTGGAATCACATTACTGATAAATGCACATTCATTAGAAACAATCAGCAGTTATTGGATAGAGTAGACTTCAATTTTCGACGAAGAATAAATTTATACCTGAGAGAAAACAATTTCTAAAACTGATCAGTGCAAATTGTATGTTATTTCTGTTGTTTAAGTTGTTTATAACTCTTATTCCAACTTTTTTCCTGATCGTCAAGTTTGAATTTTAAATTTATAGCCAACTTTATTAGTTATTTTCGTGTTTTTGTTGAAAATGACAAATTTTTTGAAAACTAACAAGATTTAGAAAAGTTGTAGAATTAAATTCCCCATAAAATAAAGTATTTAATAGTAATTGTTTAAGTCCACCAACGGGTTAAAAAATTCTGTCACATTCTAATGGTGCATCATCCCTTATCAAGCCTTTAAAAGCTCTTGGTACACTCGCAGCGTGTACCAAATTTGTTTTTTTATTAAGTTCAAGTATAAGTGAGATATTGATTTTTTTCAAAATTTGAAACTTCACTTTCAAGGCCTATAACTACTCAGGGGTGCAGCTTAGTATAAAGGTAAGTTGTGTTAAATCACCATATCTTGGGTTCCCCTGCAAGCCCCTGCTATGAGTCAGCTCTTATTCGAAACACCCTGTATTTAACCCCAATTAACCCTACAGAACAAAGTATTATGAAAAAATAACAAGCACACTTAACTGGTAAAACACAAACATTGTTTTAATGAATCATTAGTGCTACATCATATTCCGTGATACAAACATATATCAGTGAATACGTAGGTAGTAAATTGTGCAATTTATTGAAAATTTTGATACTAGTTTTCCACGAATTATTCATCAAGTAAGACATATATTCTTTCTAAGATAATATTATAAAAAATTTTTACGAAACGTTGAATAATTTCGGATATTTAAGTAAAAACAAACTAAGTACCTACCTAAAAATTTGAATAAATGCATAACGGAAAATTGCATTTATACATTTGTAAATTTGTGCATACTTGTCTCTATAACAGATAGATAAATATATGTAATTGCAACAGTTATTATGCAACCCACAATAGTGAGTAGGCAAACGATTTTTAACACGTACACTTATCTAAATGTAAAATCCATGTACAACAATGCTTTTTCTCTGAATATTTGCATACGCAAACAACTCGCTACATACAACGCAATGTATGCAAACTTGCACAACATTACATTTAAGGGGTAATTCAACATTAGCCATTACTTACCGCAGCGCTTCCTGTACCATGCTCTAGTGCACAGGCCGTGACAAATTCCTGTCCTTTAACTAGTTTAACAAATGAGCAATTTGGGAACCACCTAGCATGTTCCGTCCAAGGATCATCGTGTGGATCCCAGTGTTTTAAGCCTCCATCACAATGAAAACATCTAACTTGATCCCCCATACCTTCATAGAAGAACCCCGCCTGAGACAATACATCAGGCGTTTGTATCAGATCTGACGACCAACCGGCAAAAGAATTTAGTCGAGCTTCGACAGTTGCGTAGTTAGATCTCTTTGGTCCCTTATGAGCTTGAACCCCAAGTTCACCTAAGTTTTGCTCGGTTCTAACTAAGTTAACATTTGGAAACACTTCTTTTTCTATAGTAAAATCCCATTCTACACGCTCCTGATTGTCACTATTTCCACTACTCAGTCTAGGATTTATAGTGGAGATGACAAAGGGGCAGTTAGGGAAATGTCGCTTGTGTTCGGCATCTGGATCATCACCTGGCTCCCAAGCTCGCACGACTCCCTTACAAAAAGCACATTTCGTATTATCTCCTTCTTTGAGATAATAAAATCCAGCTCTAGCTAGCCTCTCTGGCATTACGATGTTTCTCGCTGGCCAATTTTCAAAGGAATCTAGTCTGGCTCTTTCATCTTGGTAAAAAGTACTCGAAGAGGACGAAGGTACATTGGGTGATATTATAGGAACATTACCTGAGGTAGAAGGGTCTAAAACGAAAGGGCATGTGGGACTTAAAGCTATATGTCGATTCATCACTTGATCACCGTAGTTCCATTCGGATATTCTTACGTGACATGCAAAGCATTCAACTTCTAGTCGTTGCTGTGTTGAAAAGAAACCAGCCTTGGCTATTCGCTGAGGATTAACAACTGCATCACTAGGCCAATGAATAAAGGTTCGCAGACGTGCCTCTTCAAAATTCATTTTCGAGCCAGTTTTAGGTTATGTCATGCTGTAAAATTGTTTAGATTCCTCAGAAAACTCTCTCTTAAGTCTAGGAATAAATATTTCATCCTGAATGTTGTTGAATACGAACTACATTAATTTATGCGGAGATATCAAATTTGTTTAAACTTGAACTGTCAACTCAAAACTCAGCTGATATGAAAAATTGCACAGATGTCACTACCAAACGGAATGCCACACGTCAGGAATAAATTGTGCCAAATTTAAATTTAACATTGACATTTATTTATTTACACAGCATATTACAATTTTATTTATGAACTGTTATTTAAATTAATTATGCGGCATGTTATTAAATTTGCTAATGTCTGCATCTTTATTAAGGCGTTAGCTTTTCTAATTTCAATGTCTCTGAAAAAATTAATAAGTAAGTTGCTTAAAAATGTAAAATTACCTATATAGGTAAGTACAAACCTAACTTCTTTAGAATCGCCATCGTTTCTCCGACTTAATATATAATTTTTCATTTCGTCTATATGAAATTTAACTTTAAACAAGACAGAGTCCAGGTTATTAGGATCAAATTGATATGCGCTGCAATTTTTAAGTGCGTAAAATTCGTTGATTATTTTTTCTGTTAGCTCTTGTAAAGACATTATTGTCTGTGACTTTATTAAAATATCACTGTTGTGACATTTGATTTCCCTGAAAAATTAAACTGTATTAAAAATGTGACTTTATTTTGTGTATGAATTGAAATACTTATTAGGATCATTTTCCTGACTTGCAATTTCATTAATTTGATATTTAATTTTATACAATAAAGTATCCAGATTCTTGGGATCAATTTCATACGCTTCCCCGTAGTAACTTTTTAATGCATCGAATTCATCGACTATGTATTCTTCTAGTTCTTGCAGTTTCGCTACAAAATCTGCCATTTTTTAATTCTTACTTTTCACCAGACAATTTTCACTAGTTACTAGTTAGACACAGAGGCTAGGTAAATACACAATTTTGCTAACACGATAAAAATAAATTTCTTAAAAATGTAGGTTTAGGTATAGGCAATTGTTTCTTAAAATAGTTTCATGACCCACTCGTCTATGTATAGGTAAATTATACCTAGATAAGAGGAGTAGATAGGACCAACTTCCCTATTCATTAATTTAGGTGTTTTTGCATTCATTGTTCATTTTATTGTGGTCAAGGACATACCTACTAACGGATTATGATCTTATTTATCATTGATATTTGTTTAGTATCAAATTTTTATCATATTAGGCATAATATCTATACAATAAAAGTCTAGACCTAGACTAGACTAGTCTAGACTCTAGACTAGACTAGTCTAGACTTTAAACTAGACAGTCTAGACGGAGTTCAGAGTTTTATTGTTATAATTACGTATCTTACCATAGGTGTCGTTAAAATATTTTCAACGGCGGCGGTAGATACTAACAAAAGACAAAATAAGTTAAGTGCTTATCTATATGATGTAAACGAAACAGAAATAATGTTTTATTATATAGGTGTACCTATTTATTTGTATTGTAAGGTCACTGCATCGATTTTCGACCGTTTAATAGATGTTTTGACTTTAAGCAACAAAAATTATTTGTTTTGAGGACTATTTGTTATGAATCTCTTAAACAGTTAGGTATTCTGAAATTACTACAAATAATTTTGTTATTTTAATCTGAAAAACCTTTTGCATGGATTTACATTTTTATTTATATATAAATCAAAGAAAAATGAATAAAATTTGGGAAGGAAATAATATTTAATCCAGCTTTCTTATTTTTGCTCAAATTTTACAAAACTAGTCAAGAATTAGAATTGGTAAGATCACGGTAAGATAACTAGCGCCAGCGCTAGTATCGCTATTGTAATATTATGAATTGTTTTACCCCCTATCTACGCCCATGCCTGACGGCTGATATTCAATTCCGGGTATTCCGGACACTAATTGCATGGCTAATTGTAAAAGGGTTGTACATTTTTTAGAAACGGTATCCTTATTCCTTAGTTAGTTTTGTGATATCACTAAGGTGTGCATTGCTTGTATTTATTCATCATTAAAAACCACTAAATAGGTACTGAAATAGATTATTTTCAGGGTATATTTCAGAGTTAAAGTTCAAGCATGATTCGATGTTTTGCAGTAGATAACAATGATAACATTTTCATAAAAATAAGTTTCTCCATCTTTTACTAAAGCTGCTAGAGATTTAGGGTCAAAGTCCTTATATTATCATTTCTGCTTTCTAGCAAGAAATTTACCAAATTTTTAACAGTTTGTTTAAAAAACATTTTAAATTACACAGTTAAAAATGACGTACTTACAATTTTTACAGGTATTAAAACCTATACAATGTACAAGCTAATTTACCCACGTCTTTTCTTCTTTTTTAGGTTATAAAAATGAGTAGCCGGGCATTCAGTTCCTCTGCTAGAAACGAAGTCGTAATAATTTCCGCAGTTCGAACACCCATTGGCTCATTCCAAAGCACACTTGCTCCCTTGTCGGCAACAAAGCTGGGTGCTGTTGCTGTGCAAGGTGCTATCGAAAGAGCGGCTATTTCAAAAGAGGAAATTAAAGAAATTTATATGGGCAATGTGTGCCAAGCCGGAGTTGGACAGGCACCAGCACGCCAAGCAGCACTATTTGCAGGTTTACCAAAGTCCACAATTTGCACGACGATAAACAAAGTGTGTGCCTCTGGTATGAAATCGATAATTCTCGGAGCGCAAGCTCTTCACCTTGGAGATCAAGAGGTGGTACTTGCTGGAGGAATGGAGTCCATGTCCAACACTCCTTATTATTTAAAAAGGGGCCAAACGCCTTACGGTGGAGTTAACTTACTAGACGGGTTGGTCTCCGATGGGTTAACTGATGTTTACGGTAATTTCCATATGGGGGTGTGTGCTGAGAACACGGCAAAAAAATTAGGCATCAGCCGGCAACAACAAGATGAATTTGCGATAAGCAGTTACAAACGCAGCGAAGAAGCTTACAAAAATAATGTGTTTGCCTCCGAGTTAGTGCCTGTTAATGTCCCACAGAAAAGAGGACAGCCTGATATTGTTTTCTCGGCGGACGAAGAGTACAAGAGGGTCAATTTTGAAAAATTCGGAAAGTTAGCGACTGTTTTTCAAAAAGAAAACGGTACAGTCACTGCTGGCAACGCTTCCACTTTGAACGATGGGGCTTCTGCTCTGGTTTTAACCACCTCTGAAGCCGCTAAGCGTTTGAACGCAAAACCTTTAGCCAGAGTGGTGGGATATCAAGATGGAGCTTGCGATCCCATAGACTTTCCTATAGCGCCTGCCGTTGCGATTCCGAAATTGCTGGAAAAAACTGGTGTATCCAAAGACGAGGTAGCTCTTTGGGAAATAAACGAAGCTTTCAGCGTGGTTGTTCTGGCGAATCAGCAACTTTTAGGGCTGGACCCCTCAAAAGTCAATGTGCATGGAGGGGCGGTCAGTCTTGGACATCCCATCGGCATGTCCGGTGCCAGAATTGTAACTCACTTAGTACATGCCTTGAAACCTGGACAAAAAGGAGTTGCAGCGATCTGTAACGGTGGCGGTGGCGCTTCTTCCATCATGATTGAAAAATTGTAAGTGCTGGTTTTGACAGGTATTTTTAAAGTGTGAGGGGCAAATGGGCTATTATGGATTTGGTTTAAGACTAAGAAGTTTTGTCACCATTGTGCAAGTTGTTTTTATACGCATTGTATTCTATGTTTACAGTTGTTATTTTTATACACAGATAAGAGAATTAAAAACAAGAATTGTGCAATTATTTCTTTATCAATTCTAGGAGAGACGCGTTACCAAAAAATGTTTTACCTACACTGACTCTTTATACCAGAGATCCATGCCCTTTATGCGATGAACTTAAAATCGAGTTGCAGCCATTTTTAAGTAGGGTAAATTTTGAAATTGTTGATATCTCCAAAAAGGAAAACGTAAGTTATCTGAGGTTGTACAGATACGAAATACCTGTGGTGTTCTTGCATGGACAATTTCTTTGTAAACATAGACTCGATCGAAATTTGCTAGAACAGAGACTAAAAAATATTGAGAGAAGATGAAGGGCTTGTATTGTAGAATATACATCAATAGAAGCACTAGAAATCTGAAATATTCAAAAAAAATTTATTCTTATTTACACTCGTGTACAATGTATAAGATAGGAACCATTTCAAATAAAAGTTTATTTTACTATTTTTATTAAACTTTAATATTGCCACCTGAAATGCAAAACCTTTTTTCTTAATCTGGTCCTTTTACAGGACAACGTAAAAACAACCAAAAAAGTGTAAATTAATTTTGATTAAAATTGAAAACTGTGACCGTCAATAAACAAATTTAAATCAATATAATTTTCCTGAGTAATGCAATCTATACATAAAAATTTTAAATATCTACTTATATACAGGGTATTCCAATTAAAACTTCTCAACTGGAAAATATCGGAATTGAAAAAAAAAAAATAAACAAAAGAAACCTGAGACACGTCGATTTTCTTTTCAAGGGGACATGTGAAGATGTAAGTTTTGATGTCTTGGAAGCTACGCCTTAGGCAAGGGTGTAAAATAATCTTAAATTTTAAATGGCACTCTATGTTGAGTGACGCCTCATTTTAAAGCTTTTTCAATTCTGCTCACGATATGATATGACAATAAAATCATCACTCTAAGACAAAATATCAATGAATGAAAGAATATTATTTTATTAAGTGTTCAAAATGGTTTCCCTCCGTTTCCATACAATAATAAAATTTTTGCTCCACTTCCGAACGAACATTTCGAAGCAGAACTTTCCAAATCATTGAATAGGATGCAGAGATTCAATTCAGTGGCCTCCCAGATCTAACGCCCTTAGACTTTCTTCTATGGGTGCACTTAAAGTAAAAAATTTATGCAACACGATCGAACTCACTTCGGTAGGAGCTCCGTCAGCGAATTGTTGAAGAAGGTTGTCAGATAACGCTCAAAATGCTTCAAAAGATTTGAATACTTAATAAAATAACAGTATTCAATCATTGATATTTTGTCTTATTCCAAAATTTAAAAAGTCGTATGTTGCCATGAGCAGAATTGAAAAAAAGCTTTAAAAGAGGTGTCACATAACATAGGGTGCCATTTAAAGTTTAAGGGTACTTTACGCCCCTGCCTAAGGGGTAGCTTCCAAGACACCAAAACTTACACCATCACGTGTACCCCTTGAAAAGAAAATCGACGTATCTCAAGTTTTTTTGTTTTTTTTAAATTCCAATATTTTCCAGGTGGGAAATTTTAACTGGATCACCCTGTATATTATATGGTTTTATTGACTTTTACGTTTAGTAGATATATGGCACGAAATTCAAAACAAGTTAGTACAAAGTTTCAAAAATTAATTTTAATTGGAGTTACATCGGTTTCTTATTATTTTCACAAATGTGTTACAATACATTATACTTGTATATGGAAGAAAATGCAGTTGTGTATTTCTGGTTGCCGTAAGTCGGTAATATAACATTTACAGTGTTCCTTTCAGTGAATATTCCAGCTATAGATGGAGTGTATTCAGCGAGTAAAGATTCCTTGTTATAAAAAGTGATCCATTTCTTGGGTTACATAAAGGTGGCGCTGATATAATTAAATTGAGTATGAAAAGATGCACGAGAAATTTAAAATGACATTGTTTATATAAACGTATCTTTTATTTTTTTACTAACTACTACTACTTAATGAATATTAAACAAATTCTTCCGCTTATCTACTGTGTCTCCTGTGCATCAGCGCTACAACGGCGACTCCTTAAACTTTACTTTGGGCTTTGGGTCATACAGACAACGGGATCCGAATTTGTATGCCCATAAGAGTCCTTGTAGAAACTCTATAATGCGTCTATTGCCTATTCACATAACAAAGACAACACATTTTTAACAGAGCAACCAGTTATTGCTGGTGTTCGAGGAAAATAGAAGTGAACACACCAAAATCAATAAATTTCTGTCCAATATTGACTGAATCGATCCTGCTTAGATTATTTTGAGAAAAACTTTTTATAAACATATATTCTAAAATGTTTCTGACCTGAAACTAAAAGTTTTTTCCAATTTTCAAAAGTTGAAATGATACACACGATATCAACTTCTTTTTTTAATATCTATTATGTAATAAAGAAGTTGATTACCTTCCCTTAAATTTTTATTGCAAAAATGCAGTAATATCCACAAAATTTTTGAAAAAAAAAATACTCATGTTACTGGTGTCATTACATTTTTTTATGTATTTTCTATAATGCGCTTTCAAAGCCATACAAAATACATATTCGATTTTTTTTCTTGTATCTTGTAAATGCTCAATAACATACCTCCCCACAATGCAACATGGTTGTATATATAGTTGCCTATATGACAGAAATAAATAGAAAATAATTATAAGATAGCAATATTATATTTCCGTTTTATTTTAAATTTGATTAGTGGTTACTACGATTAGTTTATTTGAACTAGCAGGAATTAATATTAATTTTAATTAACTAGAATAACATTATATTTATACGTTTATGGTCAGATTGTAGACAGGTAATAGTAATAAAAAATGCTCATTATACGGGAAGGTAAGTTGGTGAAGCAACACGATTACTCAATTTTTTCCTGCAAAAATTAACAACTAAAATATGACCTAAAATTAGTGTTAAAATTAATGCCAGTGTCACTGCATAAACAAGTAATTTTTGCGGTTATATTACAAATGATTCATGCTAATTACTTATGAAATATGAATGTACCTTTCCTTACTACACAAAATTGACCCAAATTATTCTTTTAATTGTAGCTAATTATTTTATTTGTGACGGTTAGTTTTGAAACGACTGCTTATTGCCTCCACCGTCTTATACTAATAGGTACATTTTAAATTTTACTTAGCAAAAATTGTGATACTGAAATATTAAACGACTGTAATTTGATGCAGTTCTGTATTTTTTTATATAAAATTTTCTGTCTGAGACCAAGAATAATATACGGACGACAGGTCTTTGACCCAGAACAAGGGAGTGGACAGTCAATCATCTTTATGAATGAATCATTATTCCCTTATAGACTAACAACCACGTAGACTGGCCGTTCCAATTGGGCTGTTCGTTTTAATATGCTGGAAACAGTACAAATTACTTACAACTTTAACATGTTCAATATACGTAGTCTCATTTGTGACATACGTCGTTAATTTGCGCAGATAAACGAAAAAAATAAAAGACATTTTGTCTGCTCTTACCGATTGCCAATTAGACAGTTAGATGAAGAAAATGTAGAAAGGATCTGGTATGAGATAAATAACAACATCCCTAATGTAAAATGTAAAACTTTAATGTAAAAAGATGATACAAATATATCCAATTGTGATACTGATAATATTTTTACCAATTTCTAAAATAATTAATTAAATCTAAATTTGGTAGTAAAATAGGTTTCATACATGAACTAACGCTCACTATATCCAATTTGAGTTAAACCATTTATACTGATACTGACAGATCCAATAGAATTAGAAACTTGTTTAGGCTTGACGTGTTTCCAGATCCAAATCATGTAAATTATTTAAATTGCCCACTGCTTAAATCTCCAATTGCCGCTTCTCTATTTATAAAGTCATTTATATGCCAAGGTAACTTAGATCTTCCTTACGTGCATAAATTTGTTTGATTACTCAAATTCTATATAAAAATCAAATATCTACGTAGTTAACCCCAATGAAAAATCGAATACTGGAAATTGTAGTAGTCGATAAACGCCTTTGGTATTTCTCAAATTTTAATAAAAAGTTAAAAGTTGCACAAAAGTGTATGTATTCTTTGCTACAGAACAAATTACTTGCGATTTGTAAAGGATTTAACTCATTATGGATGCTCGGCTGACTTTGTAAGAAAAAAGCTCTGTCGTTGGCAAGAAAATCAGAAAACTATTGGCCACTTTTTGGCCGTATATTTTCTAAGATCGAAACTGAATCTTAAGTAGTCGTCAGAGAGGTTCATGGACACTAAAAGTCCAAGCGTGAACGTGAACTCAGGTAGAGAGACCATAAGAACCAATTTCCAGGGGCTAATGGAGGCCTGTTCGATTGTATAGTTTATAAACGCATAGGCGTGTCATGAAGGGAATTAGAGATTCAATTTATTTATGCCTTCGTTTTCATTTACTTAGAAAAATTGTATATATACATATATGCTCCTAAAAATGTAACTTTCACAGTCAAAGGTATATTTAATTTAAATGACAGAATAACATAATCTGCAAATATTGCTTTAGGAATGTGAGAATTTGCCATATAATTAGGCAAACACACTAGTTGAATTGAATGGGCTTTTAAATCGCAATTATGCCCGATTTTGTGTTGTAAGTTAGTTTGAGATAATAATAAGTGACAATTATTTTTTTTAAACCCCCGCCCAGGGGTGAATCAAAATTAAGTGTTTTTTCAAGATAACCAAAAATAGTACGAGCTAAAAAAACTTAATTGAAATTAACAGGGTTAGGGAGGCTAGAAGTTAAGGGATGATATGAGAAATTTACAAAAGTCTAACAAGCAGGAAAAATTAATGAATACCAAAAGCTTTTTTTCAGTATACTGTATAAAATATAAACCTTTTCAGAGAAGATATTTTAATGATTTAATAGCACTGAAACAATTTTTTTCTGTATCATTCGCTTCGTTATTATAAATAAGGAAGTTGCTTTGGAATTTTTTTTATTTAATTTTTTACCTTACAGGACAGTTTGATAAAAAATAATTCTTTTTTGGAAGGATTCAAGGTGAATTTAAATTATATTGACAAAATAACATTTAGTATAGAATAAACGACAGACTTCCTTTTTTCTTATAATAATTGTAATACCTAATGTAAAAAAATATGTTTTGATTATATTTAACAGGATCAAAGAAAATCAAACAAACTTATACCTAACAGCAATATAATAACTAAAGATGTACCTCTTCTTCCGGCGGAAAAAGTGTCCAAATTTTAGATATCTACGTTACCTACATTACTTTTAATTTTTCGGTAAAATTGTAATATGATGCATGATAGTTTATGCAATTTTAATTCCAAAATGAAAATAAAAATGAAAATAGGAAAGTAATCTCACGATTTGTATTCCAGTAAAGCAATTTGATACATTAAGCTTTTGTTAAATTATCTATTAATCCATTTTTTTACCATTTTACTTTGGACAAATGTAGCTATTAAAACTGGAGTTCATCTTCTCCAGTTAAAATCACTACGGAAGTGTCATGTCGATCAGCAAAAGGAGTAATAAAATCTGTAGTAATATATTCAGGCAAGTCGCCTAGAAAAAATATAAAAACTTTGGACACTATCACTCGTTTTAATATTGTAGTATTGAAAAAAATATTAAAAAAGTATTAGTATTACTTTTTAAGTATTTAGATTCAGTATCTACTTATTCAATATATAGAAATATTATCAGTTTTAATCTATCAACAAACAGCATTTACTTTTTCTTATAGATCCAGTATTTCAAAATATTAATAATATAAGCACTAACATGAACAATGAAGAGTGTACTCCCAGTGGTCCATAGCGTTATGCTTCGCCCTGCCAAACCAGAGGTACCGGGTTCGATTCCTGATCAGGCAAGGTTTTTTTTCAAATAACTATAACATAATAAATATTAGCAGCCGAGAAAGCAGATAGATTATAATTCGATATACAAAATTCCAAAGTAAAAGGAAATTTTAAACACTGCAGAGGTTATAGTGACGTAAATACACTGTTGTCAAGTAGGATCTTCAGCTTACAATATTAGTACTTACATATTTCTAACATTGCCAAAAGGTGATAATTTGATTCTTAAAAGGATTGTTGAATATAGTGGTAGATTGGTCCAACTCAATGGGCCCTTAAGTTGCAATTTTGGTCGACTTGATTGAATTTTTTGATGAAGTTTGAGGTATATAATAACAATAAATGACGTTATTAATTATTTTTTCTACACCCGTATTATAACAATGCACTTATATGCCCATAATCCGTTTCATAATGATACCCATTACGATACAGATTTTTCATTACGATACAGATTTTTAATCAATAGAAACCCATAATTTTTCAATCAAGCATGCTGTGCATTTGACGTTTATCCTAGGTTCCTATGTAATTGTTTTAGATGTCAAAATCAGTACGTATTAAATTTTCGTAGATACCTAGCTAAACTTCGATAATTTATCAAAATGTCTGATATCAGCGATATAGAAGAATTACCATCGACTCCTCCACACATATCGGAGAAAGCAGAAAATGCAGTTCAAAATATTTTACCCCAAAAATCTAAGAAAGTGTACGAAAAACTTTATCAACGGTTTATGGACTGGAGAAATACAAATAATATTTCGACATTCTCCGAAAATGTTTTTATTGCTTATTTTCAAGAATTGATGGAAACTATGAAATCATCTAGTACATGGACACATTATTCAATAATAAAAACGTTGGTAAATATAAACCATAATATAAACATTTCTAAATATAATAAACTACAAGCTTTATTAAAGCGAAAGGCCGAAGGATATGTTGGAAAAAAAGCAAAAATATTTTCACCTGAACAAATAAAAACGTTTATCGACGAAGCACCCGATGAACGGTTTTTATTTTTAAAAGTAAGTATCTATCTAACATTGCATTTTTAAAAAAATTTCATGATTACATTTTCCATTGGACTCATGCATGATAGGTATATTTCATTAATTTCGAGCAAACACATAAACCGAAATCGTGGCCGAGCGGGTTAAGGCGCTCAATTTGGACTAGACTACAGTGTGAGATCCGGGTTCGAAGCTATAGCCTAGGTCAACTGCTTTTTTTTTTTCTTTTTCTTTTTTCTTTTTTTTCTTCTCTTTATTTATTATTGTTGTTTTTTTTTTAGGTAGCAATGATTTTTGGAATAATGGGAGCATGTCGGAGGCATGAACTACATGACCTAAAATGTCAAAGATATGAATGGAATCTTAATTGTTAATTTGTTAGAAACTAAAACAGAAGTACACTAAATACTACGAAATTAGTAAAAAATATATGAATCTACGGCCTAAAATTTGCCCCACCCCATCTTTTTTCGTTAATTATTTAAATGGAAAATGCACAATTCAAAACATTGGTATTAATAAATTTGGTGATATAGGGAAGAAAATAGCAACATATTTAAATCTGCCCGATCCGAATTTATATACAGGGCATTGTTTTCGTAGGACATCTGCAACCGTATTAGTAGATGCCGGTGGTGATATTACTACATTAAAACGCCATAGTGGCTGGAAATCCAATTCAGTGGCAGAAGGCTACATTGAAAATTCGGTTCAGAATAAAATCAGCATTTCCAATACAATAATATTGAACTCTATTGAGACTAGCAATAATGAAATAAATGTAAATATTCCTTCCACTTCCAGATCAGTGGGACCTGGAATAAACTTTTCAAACTGCACAATAAATAATCTTAATATTTTTAAGAAATCGGATTAATTACAATTATTATATGTTGAATATAAATACAAATAAAATGTTTATAGTTTTCTTGTATCTATGGCAATACCAATACCCGTGGTATTAATTACAATTTTGTAGATTTTTTTTATAGAAATACGAATAATTACTGTTACCTATTGTGTTCAATAAAAATATAAAATTTATGGTTTTTGATTATTTATCGGGTGTAGAAAAAATAGCGTATGCAACTCTCATGTAATGGTTATTATTACACTCGCATAAACCATACGAAACTCGCCTTCGGCTCATTTCGTATCCCGGTTAATGCTCGTGTATTAATAACCATCATTACATGATCGTTGCATAATATACTATTTTCTACCCCCGACCAGGTGTGACAAAAAAATTAAACAGTGTTTTTTCAAGACAACTTAAAAGGGGTATGAGCTAGAAAAAATGTTTTTTTATAAAAGTTGTAGAGCATTAAATTTTACATAAAATGTGTTGACTTTTTCTTCGACTATTAAAATTAACAGTTAGGGAGGAAAATCATAACAAGCAGAAAAATTACTGAATTTCAAGTTCTTTTTAATCTACTCTAATGTAAAAGATATAAACTTTCTTTTCAGATAAATAAATTTATATTTTTATTTTTAATAAAAAAGTTATAATAATTTAAATTTTTTAATTAGGTACCATTATAAAGACATTTTTTTTCTATATCATTCGATTCCTTATTTAAAATAATGCTAAATAAGTTGCTTTGAATTTTTTTTAGATATTTATATCCTCTTAGTCAATATCTTGTTTCATTGCTCTCTTAATAAGAATAAGTTATTCGATCGGTTCTTTTTTGCTGGCATTTATAGACTTATATTTAAATAATGTCTGTCTTTTACAAAGTTCTTGACTACAGTTTGTTATTTTAGTGCTTTTAATATATTGTCTGTATTTATTTATTTGTGAATTCCTTTGGTAGTTGTTATTATTTGTTTAATCACCACTTCATCTAAAAGAAAAAGAAAATTAAATAGTTAATAATGTTTAAATAAATAACCTTTTACATAACAGGCTCGTTTAATTACATAATTGTACGTGATTTACCCAAAGACACAATAACACATAAGAAGTTCAGTTTACTAACCATTATTAAAACTTTTGTCACTGAACTTAGACGAGACTTCTTGAAACGTTAACTTGTGATGGTCATCTATACTAATATTATATTGACAAAATAACATTTAGTATAGAATAAACGACAGACATCCTTTTTCCTTATAATAATTGTAATACCTAAATGTAAAAAAATATGTATTGATTATATTTAACAGGATCAAAGAAAATCAAAAAACTTATACCTAACAACAATATAATAAGATAACTAAAGATGTACCTCTTCTTCTGGCGGAAAAAGTGTCAAAATTTTAGATACCTACGTTACATTTTAATTTTCATTATTCGGTAAAATTGTAATATGATGCATGATAGTTTATGCAATTTTAATACCAAAATGAAAATAAGAGAGAAATCTCACGATTTGTATTCCAGTAAAGCAATTTGATACATTAAGCTTTTGTTAAATTATCTATTAATCCATTTTTTTACGCCATTTTACTTTGGACAAATGTAGCTATTAAAACTGGAGTTCATCTTCTCCAGTTAAAATCACTACGGAAGTGTCATGTCGATTAGCAAAATGAGTAATAAAATCTGTAGTAATATATTCAGGCAAATCACCCAGAAAAAATATAAAAACTCGTCACTATCAGTCGTTTTAGTACTATAATTGAAAAAAATATTAAAAAGTATTAGTATTACCTTTTTAAGTACTATTTAGATTCAGTATCTACTTATTCAATATATAGAAATATTAACAGTTTTAATCTATCAACAAATAGTATTAATTTTATATTTTTATAGATCCAGTATTTTAAAATATTAATCATATAAGCTCTCAACAAATGTCGTCTCAGTGGTCCATAGCGTTATGCATTGTCCTGCCAATCCAGAGGTTCTGGGTTCGATCCCTGACCAGGTACGGTTTTTTTTCAAATAATTATAACATAATAATTTATCAGCAGCCGGGAAAGCAGATTGATATGATAATTCAATAATATAAAATTTCAAAGTAAAAGGAAATTTTAAACACTGCAGAGGTTATAGTGACGTAAATACACTGTTGTCAAGTAGGATTGTTCAACTTACAATAATTATTACTTATACTGCCAAAAGGTGACAATTTGATTCTTAAAAAGATTGTTGAATATAGTGGTATTTTGGTCGACTTGCTTGGATTTTTTGATGAAGTTAGAGGTATATAATAACAATAAATGACGTCATTAATTATTTTTTCAACCCCCGGCCAGGAGTTACAAAAAAATAAAACAGTGCTTTTCAAGATAACTTAATTGTATAAGCTATATTGTATGAGTATGAGCTAGAAAAAATGTTTTTTTTATAAAAGTTGTAGAGCATAACATTTTACATAGAAAGTATTGACTTTTTCTTCGGCTATTAAAATTAACAGAGTTAGGGAGGAAAATCATAACAAGCAGAAAAATTACTGAAATTCAAGTTTTTTTTCAGTCTACTCTAATGTAAGAGATATAAACTTTTCAGACAAATAGATTTATATTTTTATTTTTAATAAAAAAGTTATAATAATTTAACAATTTTAATGACTTCTTAACACTAAAACATTTATTTTTCTATACCATCTGATTCATTATTTAAAATAACGCAAAGTTGCTTTGGAATTTTTTTAGACATTTATATCCTCTTTGTCAATACCTTGTTTCATTGCTCTCTTAATAAGAATAAGTTATTTGATCGGTTCTTTTGTGCTGGTATGCTGGTAGACTTATATTTAAATAATGTCTATCTTTTACAAAGTTCTTGACTACAGTTTGTTACTTTAGTGCTTTTAATATATATTCTGTATTTATTTATTTGTGAATTCCTTTGGTAGTTATTATTATTTGTTTAATCATCACTTCAATTAAAAGAAATTAAAATAGTTGTTTAAATAAATAACCTTTTACATAACAGGCTCGTTTAATTACATAATTGTACGTGATTTCCCCAAAGACATAATAACACATAAGAAGTTCATTATTAAAACTTTTGTCATTGAACTTAGATGAGACTTCTTGAAACGTTAACTTGTGATGGTCATTACAGAAATACAAATGATCTACTTTCACAATGCAAAATATTTTTGGTTAGACAAAAATAAGTTAATAAAAGCATATGCTTGACCAATTCAATATTTATAAGATGATATTTATTTAAAAATTTTAAAACATGTAAATTAATTTTTTTCGAAAAATTGGCTTGACTTTTTACTTACGTCTCCGAAGTGTGAAAAGGGGCTATTTCAAACACCTGTTACCTATTAGTTTAACTGAAAAAAATATTTCAATAATAATATGACTATTTTTGAAAACATATATTTCAATTGAAAACGTTTTACAATTCAAACTAATAAACTAGGTACCTATTATTTTTTTTGTTCGAAAATTGCAAATTGAGGTTTCCAATATCAAAATGGACCAATTTAATTTCAGATGCGGAGGAACCATATCTTGTTCTAGAGTTCTAATGATGGTATAATAATAATTATTTTTTAATGTCAGATATCAATATTGACAGAGCAACTGATTCAGAAACTTCAACCATATTCGAAGATATTTTATTTGAAACTTGAATTTTTATCTCAATAAAGTATTCAATGTACGGTGTAGACTTCCGATCCCCATGTGTTTTGAGGTAATGCCTGCCCAGAATCAATTAAAATAGTCGCAGAGGAGCTTATGAAACAGTTTCCCGAATAATTTTTTTCACCTTTTTCGCCAATCTTTTGAAGCAGATGCACACGTGCGAAGTCGCCTTTATATTCGCGGATCGTTTTTTCTTCTTGGCGCTCGCAAAAAAGCAATAAAATTCAATGAATTAAAAAAAAACTAATTTTTACATGGTTAAAAGAAAAAATGCCTTTGTTACTTAAAAATCGATAATGAACTAAACTGTGTTAGCTTCTGTCTCTATTTCAGATTATTACATCAAATTTCCTCATTCAGTCGCTGCCAACTTTGTTTGACGTTTCAATATGCCTGAAGAGATCTGTGGCGATATTGCTGTTAATTTCCATTACCACGTCTTACGCGAGACGTCTATTAGCACTTTGTGAGCAAATAACATTTATTCTAATTTATATCAGACACTTCATCGTAGAAACTTTATAGGTATCGATTTTAAGTAAAACAAGTGGGTAAGAGGCCTTGCGTGACAGAACTAATACGTCCTTAGAGCTATAACTCAGAAATATCCTTTTACGCCCCAAACCGTCGTTTTTATGTTTCTAGTGACGAATTGGCAACAAGAGCAAATTTTACATTTTATTTTCCATTTTGATTTTGTTAGATATGAGTGTCTCAACAGGTTATAATGACTTGAAAATGTGAGGTTAATTTAACTTTTATTCATCTATTTGTTTAATTCTGTCACACAAATAACAAGCGACCAGCGACAATGGTAATTGCAAAGTAATTATGATAATTAAAACTTTTGTTATTAACACGATGTCAGTCCTATTTTGTAATGAGATGAGTGGGTGCTATCCACAACTGTAATTGGACCGTAACAGTTACAGGAACGGGAAATAGACACCCAAAAGTTACTAGCATCTGGCGTGAGTTTTCTGTTATTTTGCAGGAATAGGCAATATAAAAAAAGGTCACTTTATTTTAAAGTACTTCCGTACGCCAGGTGGTTTGAATTTGCATATTTATTCCTGCTTGTAAGTTCCGTAACGTTTTCAGTTAGTATAGATTCGAAGTAATAACGGAAATGGGATTTCAGGCACAGGGTGGTAAAGGATATGCTTAAAGCTTAAATATTTGTGACGAGATTTGGAAGTCATGCTGTTTCCAGGAGCACAAAAATTAAAAAAAAAATAAAACATATTTTAGGTTTCATCTTATTTTGTTAAGTAATTTTGTTTTTTTGTATACATTAGAGCATTTGAATCTAATTTGGTACACAACCAATAAATAGTCATATTTTTAAGTGAATATTAATACAATTTATTGACTGTATGGGTTAATATAAGGGTGGCCACTTTTTATTTCATCCTGAATTTCTTTGTAACTACTCCATATTTTGATAGCTGGTATACTGCCAGTGGACAAATAATTTAATTGTAAAAGTTTTTTCTCTTGACATGTTTTGAAATGAATTTCAATAAAATCCATTGACGACTTGGAGATACCTACTGTAGGGGTAGCCACATTTTGTTCCATCCTGTACTATTTATATTCCATATTTTAATGAATTGTACGGTATTAGTGAATTGATACTTTTATTCTAAAAACTTTTCTTCTCTTGAGATTTTTTTCACACGATTAACATTAAATGCGAAAACTGGATTGTATTGGCTATTTTAAATAAAAAAAAACGAACAAATGATTGTATTATTAAACGTGTACATATTGATAACTTCAACAAAATTTATTGTGGGTAGAATATACCTTTAAAAACAGTACATTAATAACTTACATATTATTCTCAAAATGCCTACCTCCTTCTTTTTTTTTATTGATTCGTGTTATTACACAAAGTGTTAAGGCAAGTAGTATACAATTATATTTCAAACGATTAAAAATTTAAGTTTTTTTGTAAATTATCCACTGGAGTAGAATAAACTAGGCCCATAAGGTGACCTGAAAGATAAAAAACGTAGTGATTAAGATCAGGTGGTCAAACAATTAGTGAATTTTGGCCATAACCTATCCATCTTCTGGTAATTTTATTTAATGTTATCTTCACCATTTAGAATTTTACAAGATAAACTTGGAAAATATTTTGAGGTACCTACTATTTGACATCAGCATAAAGCAGTAAACAACCTTTAAAAAACCTGAAAATCAAATTACAGTCTAGATGTTCTAGTTACTGTTTCTAATAATTAATTATTCTTTTGAATTTCATACAATTATACCTAGTCGCCTACAATACGGAACGCATTTCCTTATTAATCCACTTTAGGCTGATCAAGGCAGTTCAGATTTTCCCATGAAAAATATTATCTTGAGTGAATGGTTCTGGATACGTCATGTATTGCCATATCAGATCCTATTTGTGTGATTTAACTTGCGTATGTGCAAAATGGGAGCAAATGGTGGACGGTTACTAACTGTACTTCGTTCTGAGACATTAAATTAGCATTTACTTAAAACGGTAAACGGAATATGTGAGTTATTAATTTCGTAAAAAATCGTATACATTTTCTGCTTCGGTAAGCGAAGTGATTTAACAGCAAAAAACAAAAATGAAATATTAAGGAACATGTTACATACTAGCTATATGCTAACAAGTAAATTTCTCATTATAATGTTTTTTTGTTTATATTTAATTACTTATTGGTGGAAAATAAGATCGATAGCTTGAACATTAATAATTTGCAATTTTTTGAAAATTTCCGAGCCGTTCGCAGAACGTTTGTGACGTCACTCCAATGGACATGGACTGGCTCGACGTGACAGTTTTGTACTGTGTTAATGTGCCAAATTATTAATTGTACGAAAATGCTTTTTCTCTTATTTGTGATATAGTTTTTTTCCTATTTTTTGATATTTTTCCACCTGCCAAAACGAAAATAATTAAAGAAATGTTTTTATTTATTTTATTTTTGTTATACTATTTTGGCTTAACCAAAAGTCGCACACTGGAAATAGCAGATAGGAACAGGACAAATCACATGTCACCTTCCTTGCACCACCTATGTGTTGGTTTTCTGGATTTATTGTTTGTTTTCAATATTTGTTTATCTTAAATATTACTATTTTTTCCATTAATTATTTTGAGAGAAATATTGTCGATAAAAATTGTTCATTTTTTTCACCGTCACTAAATACGATGCGTATTTTCTGAATATGATTTAGATCATAAATAGGTATACCTATACTAAATGAGCCCACTGTTCTAATACCATATACGAATATTATCTGAAAATCTGATTATTACATATCGTCATATTCTAAAAAAAGAAGAAAAAATTGTAGTAAACTTCTTATGACAAGCGCCTAAGCCGGTAGATGTTGAGAAAATATTAATTACAGTTTATATGTAGTATGTTTGGTATCATTACTACAACTTTTATTCTTAAAATCCAGTAAAAATGTAAGTCACAGCTTACGCAATACAATGTAACGTGTATTATTGGTGCACAATTAAATTTATTATTCTTTTAATGACATGCTGCAGATAAGTATATACACGACATATGTTTTCCGTGACGTTAATTTTTTATAGTCAACACGTAGGTATATTATAGATACGCGAAATGGTCCGAATGAAGTGCATAATCGTTTTGATCACATCGCAACAAAATTTCAAACTATCTATAAAATTATTTTACTATAATTAAGATCTAAGGAAAAAAAAGTTTTTTTTTTGAGATGTTAAAAAATCGTCCTTGAAATTTTATACCAAAAAGATGACATAATTACATTTTTTTAACTGAATTAAATCATAACATGTTTAGAAAATTAATATCATCATCGCCACTTGGGTAAAGCAATAATAACATATTTTTTTCTAATTCTTGATAGGATATAGTTTTTTTTTTCTATTTTATGGCGATTTTAAGTTATCTGAATATATTTCATATTTGCCAGTTTTTATGACGAATCCTTTTATCAAAGTTAACTAATGAAATTTTACAGCTATTTATATAAAGTAAAAGCTGTACCTTTTGTGGCACTTTGCAATAATTTCGATGTTCAAATTTTTTATTAGCTGAAATAAATATATAGTTTTAAAAATTCTGAAATTTGGAAAACTGAAAATGGTATCCATAAATTTTCATGGTTTTCATACTGCATACTAACAAAAATTAATCACGTAAAAAAAACGACAAGAGTACTATAAGAATACAGGATATTTGTTTGAATGATGACATTACTAATATTCTTTCGTGCTGAAGAAAGTAAATAAACTGAACTAATTAAACTGAAGATGATTAAACTGAAAGTGATTTTTATTCGCTTCAACTTGTGCACAAAAGAACAGTATCAACACCAACACAATGTTGGTATTGTTAATGTTAATATTTCAGATTACAGTTTTGCTTTCAATTTTCAAATACTTGTATAGGTATTTTCATAGAGTCCCAGCAGGTTACAATGAGAAAACATTTCTTTGAAGTTTTTTTCGACAAAGCTTTAAAAAAAACAACCGTATTTACACCCATACAAGGCAACTATTGTGCAGGAATACTTCCCATAGAGTATGGAAGGCGATTGCAGTACTGTTACTAATAGGTTACTAATTTATGAATTTGAATTTGTAGCGAAGAGCAATGGTTTGTAAATTAATGTAACATTTTTGAAATCTTATTTTATCTATAATAAAAAGTAAACTGTCTATGTTTATTTTACTCTGTATTTAAATAAAAATAATATTAAACTGTTATAGGTACCTACACATCATATTCATTTTGCTTTCATAGTAAAGATTTACAATTTGTTCATTAACAAGTAAAGTTTGATAATTTTCTCCTTTTAATAAAGTTGAAAGCATTTCAAGGGAAAAAAAAGTATGTTTCGGAAATATGTAATACTAAATTTTATGTAGGTATTAAGTTTAATATCCATAGTTCATCTCAATCAATGCTATTTTTTTTAATTACATGTAACACCTTCAACCACTCCACTGAGGTTTAGGGATTTTTATTTGATCTTACCAACCGTGAATTGTTGGTTGTCTAAGCTAGACAGTCACGTGGCTTGTAAACATTTATGAAGGCTCTGTATCAATTAGTGACATTTAAAGAATAATTGTAAAATAGTATAATACAATAAATATATATTAAAAAAAAATAATAAAACTTTCTAGTAGCCTCAAGCAAAAGGAAGTAATTTTTAGTAATTCTGTGTCGACTATCAGAAAAATCGTTGCCCTCGCCCCCACACCACCTGGAGACCGTCGCGGGCACGCCTATGCCGCACATACTTTCAGCGATGTAATACCGCTTGGACCACTGCACCGACCGGCCGTGGCAAGACTCGTGGCGACCGACTCGGGCTTAGAAGTGAACAGCTTCACCGGGATTAAGAGAAGAAGTTGCATTTTCCCTGAAAAGATCAGTGATCTCTGTCAATTCCGTCCGGATTCCAATTGGGGTGCGTGAAGTCAGTGCTAAAAACCCTACCGCAAGTTCCAGTGTTGTGAGTGAACCACTTGTTGTTGCCTGGTTACTCCAGGTCTTCAAGAGGAAGGAGTACACCCACGGTGGCTTATGTTGCCGCACGGTGCCACTAGGAATGTAAGTTGTGAGAGTGTCTGGCTTCCTTTTGGGCGTGAGTTGCTAATTTCTTAAAACATTCATTAATTTCTTTAAAAAATACGGTGTTTTTTTACCTGCAGTAACAATTTCGCCGTTAATACTTGAATAACGTGGAACAAACTATACACAAGTCAACATGACCGCTCGACGCGAGGTCAAAAGGTCCTTTATTCAGTCACCTTTACAAGATATTGCAGAATATATTGAAGGGAATTAAGAAACTGGCAAAGTTTTCAATTCATCAAAGAATAATTTTGAATAAATTATGCTTTTCAATACGCAATTTTCTTTGACTACTTTCTGTTTTCTTCGCTTATGATCCTAAAACTTAATTTCTTCATATTCTTTGACATCCAAATATTTTCGACGTTGAGTGCTGAAAAAAATTAAAGTTACTGTCAGTTTATGATATCGTTGGAACCACCAATGCAATATTTTGGTTAATATACAATGAAATTTATTATATTTTTAATGACATTTTACAAATACCTACATATTTTTTTTTTATTAACACAAATTTGCATAATTTTGCTGCACATACTTTGGTTATATGACAACAAAATGTTACACTCTCTTTTTACAATGTTGTTAAAACTTAGTAAAAGATTTTTTTGAGAATTTTAGCTATTGCAATCTTTTTCTTGGCCTTTTATATTAGGACACATAGAATTAGACATGTCATTAATACATTTTTAATTGTATAGGTAATTGGAATAAATCATAAAAGTTTAAGGTAGTAATAACATCGGTATCGTCGTTTAAAATGGCAAGTTTCATAAAAAAAACATAGAAAACATAAATTTTTCTGTAATTTGTTGAGGATTTTGAAATATCTTAAATAAATTTTCCATTTTTTTGTAGCGACTTCTTTTCAAAATTAGAGCTAAATTACAATATCTGAAAATTTACTACAGTTTCCAATTTGTCACATGAAAACACATAGAATACATAATGCAACTTTAAGAACTATTATACTTTGAGTCTAATTTTATATCAGAAATGTTTTCTGTTACCGGTCGTAAAAATTTCCTTCATCTTACACATTTGATTTTCAAATAATTTTGGTACCTATGTGGTTTGACATAAACAAACAGATAATTTCTTTTGTTTACTGTGTCTTATCTATATGCATCAAAGAACATGGCAATTATTTATTTTATTTTAAATTAAATATGGTTCTATCTTGTCACTGATATGGCGTGATTCACACTTTCTAAAATGAATAAAATATGACTGTTTAACGTATATTTACCATTCCACTATGAATTAAATACCCGGTTTTATATAAATATATAAAAAAGTAACTATAATTAACAGAAAACTAATGAAAGAAGTACTAAATATATTGATTAATAGTGTGCTGTTTTTTTTTTGTATTTCTTTACTTAGACAGTGGTCTGTTAAACAACAGTTGAAGTGTAAGCAAAATAATAAAATATAAGAACAATTACCTATATTGCTTATTTTCGACAAACATTTTTTTATTAATACATATCTTTAAATACATATTTGCTGATTACCAGAGTAGAAATAATTTTGTCATTACGTGTATGTATGAAGATACAAAATAGGTACATTATGTAAAATTGTATATGATAGTATTAACAATGTTATATCATACAGGGTATCACGAATGTCCAAATTTTATTCCGTGAAAGAACTCCTGAAAATGAGAAAAAAGTTTAAATATGAATCAAGCATCGCAGCCAGGGTTTTGTGTGACATTTTTTCGCTTGTTTCAGACCACAACCTCAAAATTTGGATTAAATTTTAATTGGACATATCTTGCGTTTTTTGTTTAAAATTATTTATTTTCGAGTACAAATGTACTAGTAACAACAACAAATTTGATTTCATTATTTTTTATTAATCAACAATTAAATATAAAGGCATATTTTGTATGAAAAAGTCATAATATTTTCATATTAAGATGAGGCACTCTAATCATTTTCTCTTTCCTTTTTCCATTTAGTAGGTATTCCAGTTAATAGTTATCATTTCGTTTTAAAAAGGATAAAAAATAAAATATCTGCTTATATTTTTATGTAAGTATACATCTTTATGCGGTTTGAATATAAAAAAATGTATTTCAGAAATTAAGGATTTCCCGATCAATGCTTTTGGGAAAATTTTTCTTACCTGTATACTATTAATCATATATTATTGTCTTTTAGTTTCAAAAACCCGTATCAAATTGTATATAAATTAAGTGTTTTTCTTTTGAGTAGCATCTAACGCTAAAATATCTAATTCACCGTAGCATAAATCTAACAAACACATATACTATCCTATAATCAGTTTCTTACAATAAATAACATCCGTTCAGTGTTTAAATGTACTTATCAGTTAAAAATATATTTTTTCAAGGTTTCACAGCCGTAAATCTCGTAAAATTTTATATACACTAGAATTTATTTAGACAGCAGAATCAATAAAACCAACACTAGTTTATTTTTTTAACAAGAATAAAATGTTTGGGAAGTTCCACTGGAAAATATATGTGTGATCCAATAATAAAATGTCCGCTTGCATTTATATCACCAAACTTGGGACAGGGTATGTTGTAAAGTTATAAAGAATAAATGTCAAGTAAAACGAAAATGTCATTAGAGGCTATAAGAGTACAATAATTAAATATTTTTTTGCCATAAGAATTCGACTTACTGTTTATTGCAATTTTTGTAATACACCTCTAAAATTATTAATAAAAAATGTATTGTATAAACATATACATTTTGTAAATGGTTTCTTAAGAAATTATAGGTACCTTCTACGACACTACTGTTATTAGAAATAAATTGTACATGCCTCAGATGATGAAATTATGCCATTATTTCTAATGCAGAGGTTAAATGATATCAATTCTCGTTATTCGTTCAATTTGCAGTGGTTTACCAACTAATTTATACTTTAATCACGTACTCTACAATTCCGTGGGTGTTTTTATTATTTTTTTCATATTAAACACCTACTAGAGTACTTCATAGAACACAAAGATTTATTATATTCCACTTTTTGTTATCCTTTTAAGTATCAACTCTTTCTTGTATACTCATCTCTTACATGTGTTTACCTTCTCGTAATCCAGGACGAAGGTAACTATAAAATCAGTTATTTTAACTTGCGAGTCATTTCGTAACAACAATAACATAAAATGTCACAAACGTTTACATGTTTGCAAGGTACTACGTATAGTAAAAAGTTGTGGTGTTTGCAAGAACACGTCGTCATGAACCATATGAACTTCAATGCTGAAAAACATGAAAAGAATTGTGGTGTTTTCATAATTTTTTATTAGTTAAAGTATACAGAATGCCTCCAAATAGGGTGTGTATTATATTATTATAGCTATTTTTTAATTTTTATCCCAATAACATGCATTGAGATTTTGATCTTGAAAGATGAACCTTATAAGAAATTGAAATATTATTTTTAATTTTTGAAAATATGTCTTTTATGGTCTTTATGTTTTCCCTCCACCAAGTTTCATCCCATTATTATTTGGGTACCATTAAAGTCGTTACTTCTTATTGGGCTTTATATACTTTTTTATGATTTATTGTTACTAAATTTGCACCAGGCTACCATCTGGAGATATATGGATAGTGTTACTATTCATATTTTCCATGTTTACAAGCGCAGATGTTGCAGGTATGCCCTTACAGGTAGTGGGGTTACTTTAGGCACATGGCTTTTACAAGTGAAATCAGTTTATCTGCTTGATAAAACCCCCAGAACGTCCTTAAATGCATTCTGGTCGTAATTTAATGACAATCTGAGACTTCCGGCGTATATCTACGGAAGTGAATTTACTAGAACGCTGTGGTTTTTTAATGAAGTGAGGATATATGGCTTCTATCACTTGCCTTCACAGTAAACCATTTGTGATTGTAATACACTGAGAAAAGGATTTAATTCTGACAAATCAAATTTATTACAGCTAATTAAAGCATTTATTTGAATTTAACGAATTAGATTTCTTTAGAGTTAATAAGTGACATTCATTATTTGAACGAAAATATTATAATTTAATTCTAAAAAATAATTTATGCGAAAATAACTCAATGTGTATACTGTATATGATTTGTGGTAGTTCCTGTAACATAAATTTTATTTTGTAAGTGAGGATATATGGCTTCTATCACTTGCCTTCACAGTAAACCATTTGTGATTATAATACACTGAGAAAAGGATTTAATTCTGACAAATCAAATTTATTACAGCTAATTAAAGCATTTATTTGAATTTAACGAATTAGATTTCTTTAGAGTTAATAAGTGACATTCATTATTTGAACGAAAATATTATAATTTAATTCTAAAAAATAATTTATGCGAAAATAACTCAATGTGTATACTGTATATGATTTGTGGTAGTTCCTGTAACATAAATTTTATTTTGTTAATGAATATTTGAAGGGCCCTTTCGGAATTAGAATATTTTCAGTTCTGCCATTTTTTTTACTCCTTATTGGACCAGGTGGAAAGTATTCGCTGTTAACATTAACTTCCGTTGTTTCTAGCCTTCTTGATGCAGGCCTGTCTTTGAGAACAGTCCACCTGGTCATCCATACCTGAACACCCTTGAACTTGAATTGGGAATAACCAGCTAATACCTCGACATTTGCGATATCGGCCGTCACAGTCACTCGGCTTTTTCAATAAATTAGAAAGGTGGGTGTGGTGTTATATGCCCCCGTACTTACCCGCATGCGACACTGCGTATGCGTCACCTCTATTAAATGTTATTGCGGAGAAAATTATACGTTTTGATTTAGAATTAATTGTACGAAACGGTAAGAACTCCGTGTATTTGCATTTTGTGGAGGTCGCCTAACGTGACCAGATGATTATATTTAGATCGTTGGGTGTTTTCTTAAATTGGTGACACCTCTGCGGCATCGACAGTATGATAATTTTTACAAATACAATTCCAAAAACTCGTTTTTAATTTTGAAAAAGGTATTCAATAAACAGGTC